CTATATATGGAAATAATTTAAATTCTCTAATAAATTTAACACAACTATTACAATCTCTTTCTACTTTTTTTAAAAAGAATGGATTCTTTTTTATCATTTTAGGAACTTCTCCACACTTTTTATTAATAAAAACGAACTTTAGAATTGTTGAACAATCAGTAAAATATTGTATAATTGTTTTTAAAAATACTTTCTCTAGTGGATGAACTATTGTATTCATCTTAACACCCACAACTTATTTTTTTCAGTTTTTTATCCTTTTCAATTCGAAATTCGATGAATTTCTTATTTTATCATTAATTTTCTTTTTTTTATTGTTTTCAATTTAATTTCAACTTTTTTTTTACTATTTTTTATTTTTTCTTTATTATTTAAAAAATTTTTTATTTTGTTAATGAATTTTATATCCTTATTCTTTGTTTTTATTCTCCTTCTTCTTTTTCTTTATCTCTCTCTGTTATGTACTAACTTATACTTAAGTTCATTGAACAATTCACAAGAACTTTTTGTTTTCTATTAAATAAGAAAATTAAAGATAAAGATTTTATTATATAATAAAAAAAACAGAAAATAGATTAACAAAAACATTTTTAATTAATGATATTTATTTGTATATTCATTGTCTTGAGTTACTACTGTATTAAAATTTGTTAGACTCATCATCACCACCCACACTCTTTCTGTTATTAGAACAAATAAATACATAAAAACGATTAAATTATAAAAAATAGTTGTTAATAAATGAAATCTTGTGTTTAATACGTTCATTCTCTCTTGTCAATTCTGTTATTTTAAATTTTAATTCACAGTTTAATTGTGAAGCAATCTCTAATTTACTTCCAGTCCAATGTTTTAATTCATCAGTAGCAAATTCCATATTAGTTGAAGTATCTACTTCTTGTTTTCCTTTAACCAAATTAAATATCTCTTGAAAGTCACCACTATAATCTGAACTTAGTGTAAATAAATTATCTTTAAGTATATCCATTAGTTCATTTAAGGATTGTTCTTGTTGTTTTAAATTTATCATTCCAACTTCAAATCCAACAGGAGAATTTACTACATTATCATAAAGATGGTCTAAACTCAATTTTAATTCATTAAAAATATCTGTTGTATTTCCTTGTTTTTTATCTTTTTCTTCACCTTCTCTAATCCATTCTGAAACACATTTTTGAAGTGATTTCAGAATATATGGATGTTTTAAGAATGGAACAAAAAGGTAACGAAGGAACATTAACGTAGAAAATATTTGTTTCTTTTTTATTATATCATCTTTAACTGATGGAGAACAAAGAAGACTTTTGATTATTTTTCTTTGATGACATGGAATACAGTTGGCATTTTGAATTATTAAAAGTGAATAATACCGAACGAATTCTTCTACCCATGTTTCATCATCATATTCTACTGGACTTAATTTATTTAATCCTGTTTCATTCATTACTTCTGAAGTTGTTTTATTCATAAAATCACTACAATAAAAGAAGAGATAATAACTGTATAACCGAATAAATGGAGTATTTCCTCTAAATAAAGGAGTACCTGCTTTAGCTTCTTTAATTTCACGTCTTCCAACTTGACATAATAACTGAGTAACTTTACCACGTGAAGAATAAAAGAGAATGAGACTAAACACTTGATTTGTTTGAGGGTCTTTTTTCAATAACTAAGAAGAATAATCAGTATTAAAAAAAGGTTGTAACTTTAAAAAATAAAACAAACATTATCACAATACGACTTTAATAAAATAGAGTTCTCTCTGAATAATAATTCCCTTAATTTTTCTTCAACAGATTTTTTTGATGTCATAGATACCGAATCTATTGTAATTGAATAATTTTGTGAAGACCCATTAAATGCCCTTGATATTTTACTTCCACTTGTTGAGATTTTAGAATATTTGTTAATTGATTCAGACATTAATAACTAGTCAAACTAGTTCGAACAAAAAAATAGTTTTAACCTATTTTGTTAAAAAGCTATTTTTATCTTGGAGTATTCAATAAGAAATAAGGCTATTTTATTCCTTTTTATTTAAACAGTTTATATCTTCAATTCAAATTCAAAAAAAATGAAATTACTTGTTATTTGTTTTTTCTAATTGTAAAATAGTTCCTTTTTAATTTTTTAATTTTGATACTTTTCTATTGGAAAAAATCATCAAAGAATTGTTATTATTAATTAAGTTTCATATTTGATAAATGAAATAGGTTTGTAAAGAGAGGAAAATAATTAATTTAAAAGAATTTTAGAAATAAAAATAATAAGTTAAGTGTTAATAGAATTAGATTCTATTGTTGCTAGCTCACGGGAGACTAATCGTGTCCCTTCGTCCTTAATTAAAAAGAACTTTAAAAAATATAATATAATTTAAGGATATTCTATTTCAATAATTATTCAACGAAAACGTTTTAAACATCATGAAAACTTATTTTTATTTAAATATTAATTATTCAAATAAATAAAGTGAATTCAGTTAATTAAAAGGGACAATTAAAATTATCAGTTAATGAAAAAGTTAGTTATTAAAAGGAGGTAAATACCAATTAGTTATATTTTAGCAAATCTGTAGTAAGAAAAAAGAAAAATTCCGTTACTTTGTTTAATATTTTGTTTTGGTTTATCACAATAATCTATATGTAAAAATTTGATAGTAATTAAAGGAATCTTAAACATCATAAAATTGTAATGAGATTTATCTCCTTGCTTAGAAATATTTAACAATAAAAACCATTAACAGAACATAGATTTCTGCTTTAAATCAATAGTTTGGTTTTTTTTATTATACTTTTTTTCAAATAAATCATTTTTTTTCTAATAATATTTAACCAAATTTAAACACTAAACTAATTTGAAATTGTTAATCTAACAATTATGTAACAAATTTAATGAGAAAAAATCTGAAGAAGTCTGCCATGCAATCACTTCTTCCTAATTTTTATTAAAATTATTATTTGAAAATAAAATTATATAAGAAAAAAAAAGTAATTAAGGGGTAATTATCACTTGAATGAGTTTTTTTCTAACTTCTTTAAATATGTTAAAACTTTTTTTGATTATTTTTGAATTGAATCAAAAATAAATAATTAATATTAATAGAACTTATTTCTGATTTGATTAATCCTTACCTTCTGCTTTACCATCTCTAATAACTAATTATAAATTTCATTTCAATGGAATAAAAAGGTATTATTCTCAGTTTAGTAATTTTGTTGTTAATTTATTTTATCAATTAATTTAATATTTAGTTCTTATACTCATTTTTACTTCTCTTCTTATTGTTTCACTTTAGTTAATTGTTGTTTTCTTTCAATATAATATTATTTATTAAACAATTACTTATTACAAAGTTTTATTATATATTATCTTTGATATATCTTTTATTATTCATTATAATGAACAATCTTTTCTTTTATAAGGTTTAAGATTAAATGTCCTACTTTTTATTCTTTACATTTTTATTATATCTTTACAATTAAATTCCTATGGATATTTATCATCGTTATAAATATTTATTTTATATATGGATGTTTTGTATTACGAAATCACATTTTATAATTTTTTTTTACTTTCATATTTCAATAATTTCGTGGTCCATATTAAAAAGTTATACATTGTTTTTGATTATAACTTTATTGACTATTTTTCTGTGAATTGATAATAAATTTTTTTTTTAACTTTTAATTATTTTCTTATTATATTATTTAAGTATTATTGTCTTTTATACTCAACCATAAAATTTTATTGACTTTTATTTTACTATTTTTTATTTACTACTTGTTTCTTCTTTGTATTTAATATACCTTTTTGTTCTTTAACTTTTCTTAATTATTTCTTCTTATTTATTTTTTTATTTCAATTTATCATATTTACATTATATAGATTAATTATTTTATGATAGATATCAAATTAGTATTGAGTTATTTATTTTATTTTCCTTTTATTGGTTTATTAGTCATTCTGTTCTTAGGTATTATATTTTTCAATTTATATCATTTGTTCTCACTCTTATGACTATTACCTTATTTTCCATTGTTTACTTATTCACCAATTAATATTAAATGAATGTTTATAAGTAGATTTAATAAATTATTGTAATAAAAAGAAAAATAATTTTATTTGATTTATTAAATTTTTTATTCATGTAAAACAGGAGAAATAATTGTTCAAAGAATATTCTATTAAATAACTACTACTAAAAACTGTAGAATAAAAGAAAATGACTTATTTATTTTTGGGCTTTGTTTTTTTTTTAGTACTATTCTACTTCGTTTAGTTGTTTCAAAAAGAAAAAAAATCACAATTAAAATACATGGTTATCATAAAAACATTTGTGAGAAGTTTTGGTTTCTTTTATTTTATTTTTTTATTGACTGGAGTTGATGTATCGGCAGAAGGATTGATTGAGAGTCTTCTGTTAAATGACCTTCAGCTATTAATTTTTTTTGAAGAGAAATTCTTTCACCTACTAATACAACTCTTCCTTTAAGTTTTTCAATATAAGAAGATTTTTTTTCCATTGCCAAATCACAAAGGATATTAAAAAGTTCTTTTTCTCTTTCTTCTAATGTGAAAGAAGAGTCAACCATCTCAACCTTTAAAAGTTTTGATTCAATCATATCATTATTTGATAATTCGTTTTGAATAGTCAAACATTCATTAGTTCTTATTTTATGGTATTCAGTTAGTTGAGTTGATTCTAATCTTACAACCAATTTATTACATAAATCATATTCACTCTGTTCTAATAGTATATCAACTACTATCCTTGCAACACTAAAACTTGTTTTCATTAAAAATAAAAAACAAGTCAAAGACATATTATTCTTTAAGTTAATAATTACTTCCTCTTTAACACATTCATATAATGAAAACAATTCACCACAATTATTGAATAAACTAAGTAATGAATAGTTTTTTGTAGAATGAATAATTTCGTTATTAAATTGTTGAACTTGGTTAATACAATCATCTGTATCAATTAATCGTTCCAACGAAATGTATTGAAATGATTGAGGTAATAAGATACTTGTCTTTATTCCTGAGTAAATTTTGAGTAAACAAATAGATTTTTGAATTTTGTCTAACTGAATAAAATAATCATATCTCTCTTCCCAAAATGCTTTTTCTTTATTAGTTTGGTCTTTATCAAAAGAAGGTGGAAATAATAATTTTAATGCTTTTATAATTGAAGCAATTGTAGTTTCTATTTGTTGTAATTCATTAAATGAACTTTTTACAATTTCACTTAATGATAAACAAATAGATGGAATGATACGAAGAGTAATAATTAAAGCAGCTTCATTTGGACATGACAATTTATTAAAAAGTTGAATAATTTCAGAAGAACTTGGTTGTTTTGTTAAAATAAAATTATTGTAATATTCAAATGGAATATCGTATGATGGACAACTCCAGGAATATTCTTGAATTTCATTCTTAGTAAGTACTTTAAATATAACATTATTTTGAATGAACCCTTTCTTTATAATACATTGAACATCTAATGGTTTGGTTGTATTACATAAAATTTGTATTTCTTCAATGCTTTGAAATGATGTCTTTATCATTCTACCAAATGCTATTTGGTAAGAATTATTTTCTGAAATTGAATACTGAAATGAGTACCATCCAAAACACCATGATTGTGTTGGTCTATTTATCATTTGATACAAATGAATTGATTCATTTTGGTTATAATGAGAATAAATTAATCTTTCACCATCAATTAAACTAACTCCAAATAAAAGAGGGAATCTGCATTTCAGACTACATATCTTTACATAAC